ACATTCGCAACCTTTGGTGACAATAGAACTCGCGCAACAAATAGATGAAAAGGAATCGACAGCGAATTGCTTTATAAAATCATAAACTCTCAGTTTTTATTTTACGTCAGCATTTATACTTTACGCAATGTGTAACTTAAAAAATTAGATAATTATATCTTAATTCAAATTATATAATTATATTTTATTCGCGGAGAAGGGATCTTTATCCTTAATAACGTTTTACGAGTTTTACGATTTTCGTACATCAATACGAGTCTCGGACGAATTTTGCTCTCACCTGCTCTGACTTGTACATCTCGGCTGAGCACTTTGCCGACAGGGTTGCTCGCCAAGCATCTATACGCGGCGCTATGAACGTCCTGTCGATAGGCCGCGGCCGGAAACGGCAGGAGCACCAGGGTACCATTTCTGAGCACTCTCCGCACGCCTGACACATCGTTGACCGGATGCCCGTCCGCAGTAGACCAGTCGATGTTCGGCGGCGGACTTCCGGATGCCGTGCAATCCAACCAGGCGCCGCTGGAATTCGAGAATTCGATCCTCGACGGCGGTTCCAGCACGAAACTAGGGCCGCGTAAATGCGCGTCGAAGCCGTGCCCGCTCGCGGACGTTATTATAGCAGCTGCACCTGCAAAAAGAAACGTATTCTTTTATGAGATAAGATATTTCAAATTTTGACATCTGTCAAATTGCGAAACGCAATAGTTAGAGAAAAATATCTCTATCTCGTTCTTCGATAAACTATAATAGACAGCTAATAGACAGATTTAATCTAACACATCGTAGATACGAGAGATATGAACTCATAACACAAGACAGCCGTTGTAAGAATACTTTGAACGTAGTATTATAGTACGGCGGTATATTGGAAAATCGGATGTGAGGGATATCATGTCGACGGCCAGTCGCATCAGGCGGAAAACAATTTGACAAGTTCCAAAGTGGATTAATCAACGTGCTTAGCGTGTCTAGGGTTGCCAATCGAACGGTGCCGTCGCGACCAATATTTCGGCCAAGTTATTCTCCTCGTAGTGCGGTGCGCGCGCGGGACACCCACTTCTCGGCGTAAATGCTTTGATCGGAGGTGTGAAAGCGTCAGCAACTACTTGCCGGCTCCTCTCTTGTATCGTTAGCGGGCTCCTGCACCGGTTATTAACACTTCGCCCATCCATGTTGCATCCTTCGTGTCAATGTTACGGCGAAATTTGCTGCGAACCATAGGAGCCGCGATAAATTCCGGCTCTCTCACACGGTTAGCTTACATAGCTTGCCTTAAACTTTGAAATGCATTGACTTAACTTTCAACTACTATTATACCGCGATTTGGCTAACGTGATCGTTATGGCAGCGTAAAACCATTCAACTAAACCGTCTTATAACTCACGCGCTCTTGTACGCTTATTGTTAGATTATCTCGATCAATTTTTGATTGATATGATCGCTATCTATTTAGTTCTTCGATATATTAAATTATATATTAAATATATAAAAAATTTAGTCAGTATTAATTTTTATCTAAATCCATGTCATTCTTAGAAGATCGATTAAATTTTAGCAAGCCATTTAGCATCTGTATCATTTTTAATACCTGTGATTTATAATATTTACAAACTGATAAACGTTAAAACGAACAGCTAATTGCGCTGATTTACGATCGTAGAAATTGCAGACGGCTAGGTAAATAAAATAGTATTTCCCTCCCCTTTTCATTTCCCCTTCTTTTAGACTCAATATTGTAGAATACCTCGATCGCAACGGGATGCGAAGCTCGGAAAAACACGAAACTCATAACGACATTCGCCCATTGTAATTCGTTTATAACGACATTCGGGAGGGAAACGCGCACGTGTGTCGCGACCGAATTTCGTAATGTCGCATTGCATGCGCGCGGCATACAAAATACAAAATATGCAAATCGGTGTGCGTGTGAGAGAGAAAGAGAATTGAAATCCTCCATCATGGTGTCCGGCAATTGCGCACTCACCTTCATGCCGGCCAGCTTCCGGGGAAAATTGTCTCTCTTTCTCTCTCTCTTTTTCTCTCTCTCTCTCTCTCTCTTTCACGCGCGCGCTACTTAATTACTAATTCCGCGCGAGTATTACGCTGGCGCTCTCTCGAGCGGAATTCCGCTCGTTGCTTCGCCCAAGCGACGTCGCGTCGATTTTCGAAGGCGTCGCATCGACCGCTTTAATTGGCAGAAAATTAATTACGCATTGTGTATACGCAATTCGACGTCGTTAACTAGAAATTCAAACGGACGGATTACGTCAAAGACATTGTCACTTAGCAATTTACGCGGAACTTGAATTAATTTTATAAAAGGTATAATATAAAATTTATAATATAAATAATATAATGTAATATAAAATTTACAATATAAATTTATATTATAATATAAAATGCAATGTGTGTCGCATACGTAAAAATTCTTGCCGAGTGAAATATTTTTTGTCGCATCTTTCACGTATATCCAATTTAACGTAGTATCGATTTCCATACTTGTCGTGACCTCGTGGAAGTATTTCGGAACATCTACAAATCTTACTGCGTACCTTAGCTGCTGCGCAGGTCAGATTCGCGTCAACATCCCGCCTTTATGACGCGTCCTCGAAGAGATTTATCCGTTGACGTGGAAAATCGAGGAGTCGAAGAAGGCCGTCGCGACGAACGAGTGAGCGCTAGCAAGAATGAACATGCCGGTAGATGCTCAAAGTGACTGGCCGAAAGCATGCGTTGAAGTGACAGAAACAGACGAATAGAGTTGAGCAGCGAGTAGGAGGTAAACGGAAGCCCGAAGGGAATACGAACGGGTGAGATGAGACAGAGAACGAAATAGAGAGCGAGAAAGAGAGAGAGAGAGAGAGAGAGCACGGGAGGGTGTGACCGAGAGAGAGAGAGAGAGAGAGGGTGCAGGTGTCGGTGGGTAATAGCTCCCTATTACCATAACGCTCGGCTAAGCCGGCTAATCGGTTCCGCTTATGCCGATCGGCAAATTATTATTAATCACATTGCGCGCAGATTATATGCGTCTATGGCGCGGTGGCATTTGCACTTCGCGTCGCGTTATCAATCGCAGTTGCACGGGCTTTTACCGTCGCGCATTTATCCGCACACATTTGATCCTTTAACAGACTTGTGTATTTATCGGTAGATGTGTCCGAACTCTGCTGACTTTTCTATAATTTTGCATAATTTGGATATATTATTTTTTAAACTCTCTGTGAGCTGTATGTTTTTTATTTTATAAACGCGAGCGTTGAACGATTTATTTCCATTTATTTACCCTCGAGGCTACTTTGATGTTTTGTTCTACTTGTACGTATTATATAATTAAATTATTATATATTATTACACAGATTAATTATAATTTAATTATAACAAAAACAATTAGGATTGATATACTATTTAATGCATGTATATGTGGGTGTGCGTAGTTTAGTTTCATAATTATATAAAGTTCGATATTTAATACGATTATTATTTTTTCACATATGTGATAATACACACGTTGCGTCATTATAGGTTTTATTTATGTAATTATAAATTAAAGCGCAGATATTTTTTTTATTTGAATTAATATTTGTGATGAGTTTATCTCTGTTTCGAGTTTATACTATTTTTAAATTCTCGATATATTTTCCACAGATAGGAAATGTATTATATAATAAATTTTAAAACATTTTGAAAAGGCTATTAAATATGGAAATCTCTCATGGTTGTTTCTCTTTGGAGAATCTCTCATGATTCTCGGTCAGTCTCCGAAATCCGAACACAAGTGGGGTTTCTATCATCTGTCTGGATTTCGCTCTCTCGCCACGAAACCTTCGAATCGGTGGGTTCGGTAAAAGGAGCTTGTGCTACGAACCAGGAATCAATAGGCGGAACAAACTGTGTAGATGGGTAGAGGTCTCCGGTAAGATTGAATTTGCAGACTGCCTTTCCGAGAGTTCTCGACGAGGGGGCGAATCCTGGAGAAAAGGTGAAGGGCAACGGGGGGACTTGATAAGAGTCCACGATCTCGTGCGACGTCGGTTTCTCCTCTCACTAACTTTCATACCTTTCCTCTTCTTTCGCTCCCCCTTCCCCTCTCAAGTGAGCTGCCGATGTTTACTCTGCCTATCAAGACGGCAATTATTTGATCCGGCTAGTGAAACGTATCCCTTGAATCTTCCCCTTTCGTAGTACTTATCCTTCTGTTTACTAGTGTTCTAGAATGATTAATCAGAATTTAATTCTGTGGATTTCTAGGAGATCTTATTTTTTCTTCTCGAAAACTCTAATTTTGCATGATGTAACAATATTAAATATGATTTAAAATAGTTTAGTACCATTTGCAATATTGATTTGAATAGTTAATACAATCCAATATATTTAAGAGATTCTGTTTTTTTTTAGAGGCTTATATATTTAGTCTTGAAATTTTAAGATGTAGTTCCTCTCGAAAATTTTTTGCCGACGATAAAAAAATAGATACAAATTCGCGAAAATCTCTCTGATCGATAAAAATTTTACAAGTTTGAGATATATTGTAATATATTACAATTAAATTATAAATTATTAAATTTTCTATTTTTTTTATTTTATATTTTATATTGTATTTTGTGTTCTGCAATTAGTCGCAAAACTCGCAAGCCGGAAGCAACGTTTCAGTAGAGTTCCGCTCAACGCGTGCATGAATAATACACGACTTCCTCTAATCCCCCCGTCGTATTATTCATATCGAATGCGCGGCAGCAATAATTGGGATCAACATTTCCCGATAAACCGTGCCAGTATTATCTTTAACGACTGCGATAACGCCACACCCTGCCGGGGTACGATATTTTTGGAGGGCACGGCTGTACTCGCTTGCACGATAATTACGCTAATTCCGCGGTTCCACTCTTGTCCGATCTACGTGACATGGGAGTACCCCGTTCTCGCTCGAACTAAACTCGAGGCTTCCTTAGATAAGGACCCGGATACAACGCTTAACGACCACAATTATCCTAAACAGTTGCGAAAGCCTGCCCTAGAAACTTTAATCTTTTTGAGATCTACAAATTCGTGATTAAGTTGCACGCTTACGTGCATAATTACTCCATTTGCTATCGTGTATGTATACAGTACAAAAATTGCAAAGTATGAATATATTCGATAAATATCAAAATTATTCCAGTTTTTCATATGTAAAATAGATTGAATAAAAAAGATAATAATATATTGCTAATAATAATAATAATATTATTTATAATTTTTATTACTATAAAAAGATAATAATAATAATAAAAATAGATTGCTTTTTTGTAGGAGATATTTTTATTTTATTGGGAAATTGTCTCATTATTAATTTGTAATAATTAATGTTTCGATAAATTGGAAGAGCATTTATTTAAAATGCTAATAAAAAATACAGAGATATTTATTGTAATATTGAAAATTAAAGAGTTTGTCCGAAAAACAAACTTAATTAACGCATCTTGTTTTTTGTTCCTTCGCGAATTTTTATTACTCCAGGAATTTTAAAAGTTTTATTTAATATTGCAGATTGTGTGAAATGTTCGATATAAAATATCGATTTTAATTCGTCACAGAATCTGTTATCAAAATATTTGTTGATAGATCGGTGACATAGTCAAAAGTTTTCTATACATTCAATACGAGATACTGATAAAAATAGAAACAACGAAATGTTTTTGCGTTCATGTATGAAAATATTTTGCGCATAGTGCATCTATACTTTTACCGCGATATATAGCGGTTAATAAACATATATACTCAGAGAGTGAGACATGATATAACAAGCTAAGAGCAGCAGCTGTGATAAGGCAGCCTTCTGAATAGATTGCCCGCCAAATCAGGTGGACCGAATGGTCTATGTAGTTTAGGTATTACATTCGACAAAGAGCCTATAGCCGCGCGCGCGCGCGCGGTTCCATTCACGATAGATACACGTACATGTACGCATATGTATGTACATGCGTGTACATAAGCCGGGATTATATATAATACATGCAGCGAATTACGCTATAACTGATATCGACACAATCGCGACAGCGCATACGATGCGGGGAGAACTTGTTCGCGTATAATACATGAAGTTATGATATTGAACGTCATGTTGGAGAATGTTTTTTTATTTACAATTTATCAACTTCAGTTAAGATGACTTTTAGATTGTTATGCCTCTGTAAACCCCGGAACGAAGTCCATAAGCATATATATACGGTACAATATTTTCGTTGTGATTAGTATTTCAGCTTAATGGTTGCTAATTACGACTATTAATAAAATCGCGGAACGCAAAGTGTTTAATTATCTTATATAACTCTTCTATCTCGTGTCCTCTTGTGTATGCAATTTTCTGGGAACGGCTCTCCACGTTTACAGCAAATCTGATTAATCTCCGCGTGCTACTAATGAACGGATGTTCTCGGCGAGGTCGGCGTCCCCGACAATCCCGATTCGTGCATCTCGCTTCGCGCATTGCGGAAGGAGAGACGCTGCATTATTGTGGATATTAAATTTCAGCGGCGAGCGTCCGCGGCGGATATTAAATTTTAGTTCTCGTAGGCAATGACCATATGGCCGAGTATAACATAGCGTACCAGTGACCGCGCCAAAATCGCCTCGTATTGTCGGCATCGCACATATAATTCTTTTTTCTTTATTAAACCACTGTTATCCGCAGTAAACCGTCCGAAATGTTTCCCAGGTTCGTATCAGTC